TTTAACAAGAACCACAGACGTCTGATTGAAAATTAGAATGGTGTAAATTGATGTTATCAGTGTCTTTGATACACATAAAAGATTTAGAAAACTTCTTTACAATCTCTTTAACAAGAACCACAGACATCTGATTGAAAATTGGAATGATGTAAATTGATGTTATCAGTGTCCCTGATATACATAAAAAATTTAGAAAACCTCTTTACAATCCCTTTAACAAGAACCACAGACATCTGATTGAAAATTAGAATGGTGTAAATTGATGCTATCAGTGTCTCTGATACACATAAACAATTTAGAAAACCTCTTTACAATCCCTTTAACAAGAACCACAGACATCTGATTGAAAATTAGAATGGTGTAAATTGATGCTATCAGTGTCTCTGATACACATAAACAATTTAGAAAACTTCTTTACAATCTCTTTAACAAGAACCACAGACGTCTGATTGAAAATTAGAATGATGTAAATTGATGCTATCAGTGTCTCTGATACATATAAAAAATTTAGAAAACCTCTTTACAATCTCTTTAACAAGAACCACAGACATCTGATTGAAAATTAGAATGGTGTAAATTGATGCTATCAGTGTCTCTGATACACATAAACAATTTAGAAAACTTCTTTACAATCTCTTTAACAAGAACCACAGACGTCTGATTGAAAATTAGAATGATGTAAATTGATGCTATCAGTGTCTTTGATACACATAAAAAATTTAGAAAACCTCTTTACAATCCAAAAACTAAGTGTAGTTGCCATATGTCATATTTGTAAGAAATAACGTTTCCAGCACTACTTATATAATCTATAAATATTTTGTAGCCGATGTGGGTTTATGATGAAGAGAAGGAATTAATGATAACTAAAGATGTGACGTTTGTACCTGGTCTATATAAAATATTTGACGAAATTCTTGGTAAGATTTTACAAATACAATTCTTAAATTTTTGTATTGTCTTGTTTTGCTTGCAATTTGTTGCATATTCTGCAAGGCACAAAATCTTGTTACAGTTGGAAATCAAAAACAGTTCATACTTGTCAAAATTTCCCTCATTGCACACTGCATGCATTGCCCATCTTCATTAGCCTAATTAGGTACAGAAAAGTAGGATGTAAAACTCCATTCATTTCATTTCATTTGATCCTGAAACATGTTGGTGCTGCTTTCTTGGCAAAATTTCTCTCATTGTACACTGCATGGCATTGCCTGTCTTCATTAGCCAAAAAAGATGCAGAAGAATAGGCCAATGACACTTTTTGCAAAATTTCCCTCATTTTACACTGCATGGCATTGTCTGTCTTCATTATCCCATATGGTGCAGAAAAGTAGGATGTTAAACACTGCATGGCATTGCCTATCCTCATAGTCAAAAAACATGCAGAAGTGTAGGCCAATGACACTGTTATTGTTTTGGCGAAATTTCCCTCAATGCAGAAAAGAAAGACGTAAAATTAAATATAATTTGAATATATTGAAGAACTATGTTTGGTTCTGTCGTTCTAAATGATATTATATTTTCTAGTAAATGCTGCGGATAATAAACAGAGAGATGAGAAAATGAACACAATTAAAATCACCATTGACAAGTAAGATTATTTTATTACCTCATATGAAACTTCTTACATAAAAATTACACGAATAGGGCTGGGTATTGATTACCAAATTCAGATCATTATGCACACTACAGATCAATAATCAATTAATAATCAAAATAATTTACTTGAGAAACCCTGTAAATACTAAATTGAAAACATGACAAATTTCTTAATTTCATGGGTAATTTTTGTGTCATAGAAGTATATTCTTGTTTTGACCAGTGTTTCTGGGACTCAGACCAACCCCTATAACTATGTATATTGTATTTTATAGAGTTCACAATCAGATATCAGTGTGGAATAACGGTAAAGGTATAGTCACTCAGCCAGTGTTTCTGGGACTCAGCCCAACCCCTATAGCTATGTATATTGTATTTTATAGAGTTCACAATCAAATCTCAGTATGGAATAATGGTAAAGGTATACCAGTAGTTGAACATAAAGAAGAGAAAATGTACGTACCTACCATGATATTTGGTCATCTTTTAACTTCCAGTAATTATAATGACTTTGAGAAGAAAGTTACTGGTAAGTCAAAAACTTATTTTTAAAATTCAGTTATTGGGAAAAAACAAATACACAGACTGAAATAGATCAGTTGTCTAAAGATCTCATAGCGTGAAACTCTGAGTAACAACATGTTTCAGGTTCTGTTTTAGTTGTCTGAAGATCGCATAGCGTGAAACTTTGAGTAACAACATGTTTCAGGTTCTGTTTTAGTTGTCTGAAGATCTCATAGCGTGAAACTCTGAGTAACAACATGTTTCAGATTCTGTTTTAGTTGTCTGAAGATCACACAGCGTGAAACTCTGAGTAACAACATGTTTCAGGTTCTGTTTTAGTTGTCTTAAGATCTCATAGCGTGAAACTCTGAGTAACAACATGTTTCAGGTTCTGTTTTAGTTGTCTGAAGATCGCATAGCGTGAAACTTTGAGTAACAACATGTTTCAGGTTCTGTTTTAGTTGTCTGATGATCGCATAGCGTGAAACTCTGAGTAACAACATGTTTCAGGTTCTGTTTTATTTTTCTATATCGCTCTATAGTAGAGACGCCGGCTGAAATAGATCAGTTGTCTGAAGATCTCTACTTGTCAAACTTCAGTAGAGACACAGACTGAAATAGATCAGTTGTCTGAAGATCTCTACTTGTCAAACTTCAGTAGGGGCACAGGCTGAAATAGATCAGTTGTATGAAGATCTCTACTTGTCAAACTTCAGTAGGGACACAGACTGAAATAGATCAGTTGTCTGAAGATCTCTACTTGTCAAACTTCAGTAGGGGCACAGACTGAAATAGATCAGTTGTCTGAAGATCTCTACTTGTCAAACTTCAGTAGGGGCACAGGCTGAAATAGATCAGTTGTATGAAGATCTCTACTTGTCCTACTTCTGTAGGGACATAGACTGAAATAGATAAGTTGTCTGAAGATCTCTACTTGTCAAACTTCAGTAGAGACACAGACTGAAATAGATCAGTTGTCTGAAGATCTCTACTTGTCAAACTTCAGTAGGGACGCAGGCTGAAATAGATCAGTTGTCTGAAGATCTCTACTTGTCAAACTTCAGTAGAGACACAGACTGAAATAGATCAGTTGTATGAAGATCTCTACTTGTCCAACTTCAGTAGGGACACAGACTGAAATAGATCAGTTGTCTGAAGATCTCTACTTGTCCAACTTCAGTAGGGACGCAGGCTGAAATAGATCTGTTGTCTGAAGATCTCTACTTGTCCAACTTCAGTAGGGACGCAGGCTGAAATAGATCAGTTGTCTGAAGATCACATAGCGTGAAACTCTGAGTAACAACATGTTTCAGGTTCTGTTTTAGTTGTCTGAAGATCACACAGTGTGAAACTCTGAGTAACAACATGTTTCAGGTTCTGTTTTAGTTGTCTGAAGATCACATAGCGTGAAACTCTGAGTAACAACATGTTTCAGGTTCTGTTTTAGTTGTCTGAAGATCACATAGCATGAAACTCTGAGTAACAACATGTTTCAGGTTCTGTTTTAGTTGTCTGAAGATCGCATAGCGTGAAACTCTGAGTAACAACATGTTTCAGGTTCTGTTTTAGTTGTCTGAAGATCGCATAGCGTGAAACTCTGAGTAACAACATGTTTCAGGTTCTGTTTTAATTTTTCTATAGTAGGGATACAGGCTGAAATAGATCAGTTGTCTCATTATAATAATTTTCTCTCCAGGGGGACGAAATGGTTATGGAGCTAAATTGTGCAATATTTTCAGTACTAAATTTACTGTAGAAACTTCTTCTTGTGAATATAAACGAAGTTTTCGTCAGGTGAGATCCTTTAAACCATTCATTTGGTCTCGATTTGAACTTCAACCTATCAAAGTCCATTTGTCTTGTGCCTAGTTTCATAGTTTTCATTATTCATTGTCAATAGAATGTACACATTAAAGATTGGAAATCTAGTAAGTTATGCTGCTGTCCTGACAAAATTTCCCTCATTGTACACTGCATGGTGTTGTCAGGAACAAAAGCAAGATATAATAAGAGTCCACATAACTATTATGATTATTTGGTTTCTTGGTTTTCTATTTTTATTGTCTAAAGACTACACGACAGTTGGAAATCGTAAAAGAGTAGGCTAATGCTGCTGTCCTGACAGAATTTCCCTCATTGCACACTGCATGACTTTCAATTTTTTTTTCAGAGTTGGCAAAAAAATATGAGCTTAACAAAAGAACCCACCATCAGGGATTCTGTCGGGGAAGATTTTACCTGCGTCACATTTTCACCGGACCTGTCTAAATTTCATATGGAAGAATTAGACGATGATATTATTGACATTATGAAACGTAGGGCGTACGATATCGCAGCATCATCGAAAGGTGTCAGGGTCATTTTAAATGGGAAAAAGTTACCAGTAAGTAATAATTATTTTGTAATACTCAAACGAGTACACTATTTTTGTGTATAGTGCCATCGTTTAATTTAGATTGAATAATTTGATTAGAATTTATCCCACCAAATTTTAGTTTTGGCTTATCACGTTAAATTTACCTTCAAATATATAATTTTGATAAATTTTGATTTGTAAATTTTGTGAAAATAGAAATTTAGATCCTCTCTAAGGGAAACACATTCTGGACACACTTGGATTTGAAGGCTTAAATTTTGACAGTGAGCTGTGAACACTATTACTGATTGGTTTAGCTAAAAAATTCCTGTTTCTGAGATTAAGGTATGATTGGTTAAACAGATGGCAAACCTGTTCCTTTCAGACTCAAATTTTGACAGTGAGCTGTGAACACTATTACTGATTAGCTTAGCTAAAAAATTCCTGTTTCTGAGACTAAAGTATGATTGGTCAAACAGATGGCAAACCTGTTCCTTTAAACACGTGTTTCAGATACACCATCCTCATCAGGACAGCTAGTTTAGAAATGGGACTTAATGTTAGCTAATTGACTACAGCTAATTTCATAATGCTGACATGTTTCAGATACACAATCCTCATCAGGACAGCTAGTTTTAGAAATGGAGGTTGACTTTCTAATATATGACTTAATGTTAGCTAATTGACTAGAGTTCATCTCATACTGCTGACATGTTTCAGATACACAATCCTCATCAGGACAGTTAGTTAACCAAATACTATTTTATTTGCAGGTGAAAAATTTCCGAGACTATATTAACTTATTTTTGAAAGATAAATACGATGAGAATGATCAGCCGTTAAAAGTTGTTTATTACGATAGTAATCCAAGATGGCAGGTAGCTGTTACCCTTAGTGATAAAGGTTTTCAACAAGCTAGTTTCGTTAACAGTATAGCTACCACAAAGGTACGTGTCAGGGTTTAAATTTCTTATTTTTATACTTTTGTTGTAGTAAAGAGGGAAGGTGGCTCAGTGAGTTAGACGCTCGCTAACCTGAAGGTCCAGGGTTCAAGCCTAGCATAGGTTGAGATAATACCTTCAGAATTTTCAACCTGGTTTCCCCCTGTCAGTGAGTTAGATGCTTGCTTGCTAACCTGAAGGTCCAGGGTTCAAGCCTAGCATAGGTTGAGATAATACCTTCAGAATTTTCAACCCTCATTCCCCCTTCGCTCAGTGAGTTAAATTTTTGCTCGCTAACGTGAAGGTCCAGGATTCAAGCCAATCATAGGTCAAGATAATACCTTCAGATTTTTCAACCCAGTTTCCCCCTGTCAGTGAGTTGAATGCTTACTCAAATACCTTCAGATTTTTCAACCTGGTTTCCCCTTCCCCTTCCCCATCCCTCAAAATAATCAAACATGTATCAGTCAACAAATTTCATTTTTCATTATTTTTTTTTTACTT